TCCCCGCTCCACCTCCCTCCTCCCCCTCGACCTATAACCACCAATACTTTCCCACCCAACCCCTAATTTTCCCCTTGCCACAAAGTAGAGAGCGCCCCGACTGGAAGCGTATTGAGCTGAGCCTCGAACGACTGCAGTTGGGTTACAACTTCGCCGTAATCAAAAGAAGAACGCCTGTCGCGGCCGTCGGGGCGCAAAGGGTGGCGTGGCATGGCGTGGCGGGGCGTGGCCTGCCGCCTGCTGCCACCGACTCGACAACGACGTCGCTAAGTGGCGACACAAGCGCCCCACGGTCTGGCCTTCCCTCTGCTCCCCCTTCCCTGGCCGCGCCCCCGCTGCGCTTTTCGAATCCACGACAAGTTTTCCGGACGATAAAAAGTAACAGCGGTCGAGGACACGCGCGGGGTTGCGGGAGGCGGGGCGGGCGGGACGCGGCGGGGGTTGGAGGGGCGCAAGAGCTGCTCGGCACAACAAGTAGTTACGGCTGAAGAACCAGCGACGCAATCGGGCGATAAGCGGAGCGCCACTTGTCGCTCTGCGGCTAATCAGCCTTCCTTTGCTCCACACAGCTAACGTCATATTTTTTTTGTCGTCGTCATCGTCGTCTTGGCAGTGGTTGTTGTTATAAAAGACGACGGGGGCGACGTCGAGGGGAAAGGCGATGTACAAGATAAGGGGTGGAGAAAAAAAAAGAGGTGAGGGAAGAAGGAAGGAAGGGGTAGAGTTTTCCCGCGCAGAGTAACGCGACAGCGGGACGCGCGCAAAGCGTGTCGCCTGCGTAGATTATGCGGCACTTAAACCGCAGCAGTGATACTAACAGGGCCGTGTTTACAAACTAAATTGCTGCCCCCACCCCTCCCCACCCCGGCTCTCCCACCCCGCCGATCAAAAGGGCGTTAGGTCCTTTCCCTGCGGCCCCGGCCCCGCGCGCCCCGCTGCCCTCCCGACGGCCCGGCCGACTGACCCCCTACCCTACCCTGCTGCTCCTGACTTCGGTACTCCGCTGTTTCGCAGTCAACTCACCAGTTTGGCAGACTGTGCTGTGACCACGTCCGGATACTGAATAAGAGCTTGGAAGGAGTCTGAAACAGTTTTACGACATGCTTAGAGATAGAGAAAGACACTACGTACAACGTACATTACAACAAAAAAGAGGTGGATTAGCGAGTCCCAAGTTGAAGAGGTACAGGAAACAGAACACAGCAACTTTCGAGTGGGGGACTACTCGATAATGAAATTAATATCTTGAAAATGATAAAAATGACGTTGGAAACACGAAAAGCGTACAGAAAGTACAGAAAGTCACATCTAAAGAGGTCTATTCGGGAGCAAAAGAGCAAGAACACGGAGAGATTAGGTACCAAACACCCGAAAAGAAAAAAAAGAAAACTTTCACAAAATCTATCAGTTTTTGGATTTTACTCTCTTTAACTGTCTTGAGAACGAGCCAACCCTCTCCAACAGAAAACAAGGTTCCTCTCACTTACTGTTTTTGGTAAAGGTGACGATCTTCAACACCTTGCCGAACCGCGAAAATAGCTGCAACATAAAACAAACACCGCATTAATTCCAACCCTTGTCTCAACTTTAACGAAGTACACCACGCGACACTTATCAATTATCGCACGTGATTATCCGTCAGTCAGGGCCCTTACGAGCGCACCCCTCTCCTGCGTAGCCCCCAATCTCTCCCCCGCCCTTTCTCCTCACACGCACACACACGCACACGTGCACACACACGTGCACACACACGTGCACACACGCGTGCACACACACCGCACGCAGGAGCCGCCCCGCCACAGCAGAGGACACCGGGACCACCAAGGCAATTTAGCATACCGGAGCGGTTTCGCCTTGAAATGGGATCTCCAGAGCGTAATACCTAGCAATAGCAGCCCATCACCACCCCAGCCCGCCCCGCCCTACCTTCCGATTAGACTACCTCTGCTCGTTGGCAGCGGGGCACGAGCTGGCGTGGACCTGAAGGGGGTGGGAGAGGGAGAGAGAGAGAGATGGAGAGAGCGACGCCAACTTGGAAATTAACGTCAGATTCACTAGTTCATGCCGAGTGCATAATACGGTTGGGGATCTCTCCGGGGGAGTCTCAAACCACCGCCCGCCCACGCCCACTCCCGCCCCCGGCAGCGCGACTCTCCCTCCCACCGAGTAATGAATTCCACGAAAGAGATATAAACTCCCAATTTGAAACCCAAACCTAAACCGGATTGCATACCTGCGGGACCTTCGGGGCCACGGGGGCGGCGCTCGCCTGTGTCAACTCACTTGTTGGCTGCGCGCCGCTCGGCTCGGCCACGGCGCGCCGCTCCACAAACTCGACCGGGATTAGCCAGAGAAAGGACCTGCCGCGCTCGGGGAGGAGAGGCTGAACAGAGGAGCCCGCCCCGCCCACCACCTGGTGCACACAGCAGGGCGCAACCTGGCTGCAGCGCCCCTCAAACCAACCCGCCCGGCTCCACCCCGGCGCCGCAGTGGCGTAGGGATGGACCGGGACCGAACAAAAGCTCCAGAGGTGAGCGGGAAATAGAGAAAGGTGATGGGGTCGCAGACCTTCACCCCACAACCCTCTGCCTCTCTCGCGCTCCCGAACACACTGGGTGCCGCTCTCGCCCCGTCTCTCTTGGTTACGCCACTGCGCCCCCACGGCACGACTCAGCGCGCCCCAGAGTGCCTCACGGCCGCCCCGCCCGAGCTTTCCAAACCGAACGGCCAATCTACGCCGTTAGAGCGGCGTGGCTCGGCGTAGCGTAGCTCCGGGGGGAGTGTGGTCGGGGCCGAGCCCGGGCTGAGCCGGGGCGCGCGGAGGTGTGATACCAACACCGAGACCTGCTGCTACCCACTACGCTAGAAACCCCTGACCGAGGGGTACTTCAACTTCAACCTACACACACATATTCTCTGTTTTCTCTAGATATTTCTTGATTTTTCTTCTTTTATCTGCTGTTTTTAGACGATCCAGTCTATACCAGCAGGTTTGGCGCGCGGGGGAGCGGTGCGTTATGCTTCGTCCCAACTTCCCCCCCGCCCGCCAACAATCAGTACTGTGCGCTAGGCCACGCCCCATCCAGGGGCCCCCAGCCCCACAAACAATATACACACAACACTCTTCCAAGCCTGGCCTGCCTGAAGGTGGCCCAGGCCAGGGCACAGGGCCGCCGAGACCTCGACTCCAACGAGGAGCACCTCTGGTTGCTCGGTCTGATTTTTCCTTCATTATTTCCACTATTTCCACTCTAATTTTTTGATTTTCTCCTACTTTTTTCTGATTTGGAGGGTGTACACTGATTTATTCGAGTGGCGTACCCCTCGGCCCCAAGCCTGACTCGGCGGGCGAGCCCCTGGCTGGGCCGGCCGCTCCTCGAGAACTCGCCACCGTTCACGAGCGCCGTCCTGGAGGTCCTAGAGCCCTGGCGAGCGAGGCGCGAACAAAGCGCATTATGACCGCGCCGCACACCGTGATGGACGGCACAGGGATGGCGGATGCCCCCCCCCTCCCAACCCCTCCCCGCAGCACCAACTTGCTGACCCATACAGGTATTCCATTACGCTGTCGTCCGAAATTTCAGACAGCAGCTTGCCTTTCTCTCCCCTTCCCTCTCTTTTCTCCCCCTCGCTCTCACTCTCCCTCCCTCTACCTTCCTTTGAGCCGGCGGCCCCCAAGCCCCACCGACCTACCTCCCTTTTCCCTTCAAGGATGCCGGCCACATCTATCATCATTAGCGAGGCACTTGCCCCGTCTCGGACCGGCCTCGGACCCAGCCGCAGCGGGTCCTGCCCGGCCGGCCTAGCCCAGCCACACCGGCCGGCCCTGCGCCATCCGCGCCGAGGGCCTCGCTGTCGGCCTCGGTGCTGACGCTTACCCCCGCCGCGCAAAGGACGGCAACGTGAGGACCCGGACTGGGAGATATGAGGGATTGTGGCGCAGCGGGAAAAACGGAAGGCATCTTTTCAGATGGTGGTTGCCCATTCCAACGGGGTGGGTAGGTGGGCCTCTCTCGCCGCGGAGGGCATCCTCCCGGAGGCAAGGAAGAAGGGCACCCGGAAGTAAGCGGGGGTGGTCAACGCGGTAGTGGGGACGGGCGCCGTCAAACGGATCCCATCTCGGCCATACAGCGTGCGGTAGGGCGGGTCGGGTACCGTTCGCGCCAATTATACGCCCTGCACGATCCGCCTGTCCGGGACCTGTCCAGGGGGGCGAAAGGCGCTTAGGGGGCGAGGCCTGCGGCAGGAGCAGCAGGAGCGGTAGGACCAGCAGAGCAGGTCCGCCTCGCGGCCTGCGGCCTGCTGCGGGGACCGGACGGGACGAGCGGCCAAATTGATGGATTACGGCGGATCCCACATGACCAGCGACAGGGAGGACGGCGCCCACCCCGGTCGGTCCGGTGTCGGCGGCCGTCGCACTCGGCTGGACCTGTGCGGCCTCTGCGCGGCCTCGGCACGGCCGACCAGGAAGGGGAGTGAGGCAGACGCACGTAAGGCCGATTGCCAAGTGTTTGCCGCCCTCTCCCCCTCACTCACGTTCGCTGCCGCCCCCTCCCCGTCGTAGAGTCGCGGGGCCTGCTGCTCCCGCTGCTCCGAGCGGCACGTACCGCACGCCGACGCCGGGTAGGGACCCCACCCCGCCTGCCTTGCCCTGCCC